AGGGGGAGGGGGGAGAGAGGATGGAGGAGGGAGGGGGATGAGGGGAGGAGGGGGAGGGGAGAGGGAGGAGGAAGGGAGAGGAGGGAAGGGAGGAAGGAGGAGGAGGAGGGGAGGGAGAGAGAGGAGAGAAAAGACACACAAGAAGAGAAAGAGAGAGAGAAGACACACACAACACACACACACACACAGACACCAGACCAGAAGAGAGAGAGAGAGAGAGAGAGAGAGAGAGAGAGAGAGAGAGAGAGAGAGAGAGAGGAGAGAGAGACACGAGACACACACGACACACACACACACACACACACACACACACAACACACACACACACAACAGTGAGACGAGAGAGAGAGAGAGAGAGAGAGAGAGAGAGAGAGAGAGAGAGAGAGAGAGAGAGAGAGAGAGAGAGAGAGAGAGAGAGAGAGAGAGAGACGCGTGGTCAGAGAGCTGAAGGTTGGCTCTCGAAAAGGCCCGTCTGGCTGCAGGACATTATCATCATTATTATCACTATTATTGTTGTTGTTATCATTATCACTGTTATCATTATGTTTATCGTCATTTTAGTCATAATAATAATTATATTAATCGTTATCATTAATATCATTAATTATATCGTTAATATCATTATCTTTCATTATTACATATCTATCAAATTTACTATCATTATTACTACTGGCGTTATCCTTATCATGATTATTATTATAACTATCATCATCACCATCTTTATTATCTAATACCATTATCATTATTTCTATTACTGTTGTATTTATCATTATTACTATTATTATGAACTACGCCAGATTTAGGCAAGTAATGATGGTGATGATGATGACTGTAATGATGAAGCACCTAGTTAAAACGATTAGAATAATAGTAGCGGTAATGATAAAATCAGCAATGTCAAGAATAGTATGAACGTGAGTGAAATAATTATTATGCCCATCCTCATCACCATCAGCAGCAGTATTAGTAATGAAAAGGAGATGAAATAAAAAGCAATAATGATAATAACAAACGCAACGATAATAATAACGATTGTAATAGTAATAGTGACGAAGACAAAAGTCACATCAACAACAATAATGATAACAATAATAAAAGTAAAACTGGTTGCCAATGAAGACACTTAGTAATATATCTAATCTTCCACCAAATTAATTAGTCCAGACATTTGAATTCTAATATTCCCAATCAATAAACAGTTTTATATCCAAAGCCTTAACTGCGCTATCTTCAAACTCATTCATATATTTCATTAATCTATCACTTGTAATATTGGTCTCAATTAACACTATCAAAAACCAAAACAAATACATTGTTTAAGAATAATTTCATACATGACGACAATACATAACACTAACATACAGTTACAGTTACTAACTAAAATACTAACTTACATAATACTAACATACTGGATACAGTTACAGGCAATAGAAATTACGTACAAAATCCTTTTCGGTAAACCTGTATGGCAGTGAACATGATAAAAAGTACTAGTCGTAACAGAGAATACACGTAAATACCCTTACAAAATTCAAGGACCAAATTAAAGGTTTTGTAAAGAGAGTCTGTCTACAAGAAAGACTGACAGTGACTTTGAATCTTATGGGTGAAGCACGTCATAATTGAGACCAGCTGTTGTGTGTGGTTTTAGCAGACTGGGATCTTAGATTCGGTTTTATAGATCCTCTAGATTATATATAGCGACAGAGGATGGAGGGAAGATGGTATATCAAGATTTTTACGAAATATATCTTGGCATCTAACAAGCCATTAGTAATAATGGTAATAATAATGGGATCTTCAGCTCATACTGGACGTATAGGTCTACAGTATCCTAACCTAATACAGACAGATATCTGACGGCTTTCAATTTTCGTTTACGATGTCTAAGGATCTTGGTAACCATAGTTGTTGATGAGATTAAGTCAGTAACAAAACTAAAATCATGTTACCATAGAACCAAGTGCGAGAATGCTGAACCAACGTCAAGTAGTCAATTCAACATCAACCCAGATGCGTGGAAAATGAACGTGTCTTTGTCATAGAACTCTTACTAACTCGTAAAAAAAAAACGTAATTCTTTGAGGTTGCTCCATCGCAGAGAAAGAGTCACGCCCATAGAACACGAACATATCCACGGACCGTTCCAGTATATCCTCATAATTAGACCAATTCGAATACCTTTGACGCATAAAATGAAGAGCTGAACCACTAAACAGGGATATGTGCAATTACGCCATTTAACTGTTATACAACTATTAAAACAACGGTTGAGATCCCGTCACGATAATACACAGCAAGAAATCCCAACGCCAAACCGAGAAAAAGCATTAACGAAAGCCATTTGTTACCGTGTGGTTGTGGAACTCTACCTCAGCACAGTACAAGGCCAACAGCGTCGTCTAGAATGAGTACTTTGCTTCTTTCCTTTCCATTTAACCACTGAAGGGTCTCTTTTTCAGGGCGAGTGTTTAAGTGTTTATTGTAGGTCTGTTTTCGTGTTTCTTCCCTTGTGTCTGTATGTGTAAATATGTGTTTAGTACTTTTGCAAATACACTTTCTATAATTCAAATACCTACATACGTGTATATTGTATTACAGATTGAGATAGAGGTATGAATAGATTGGACAAATAAACAACTACGCGCATGTAGACCTATGCCACGGTTACCCAACGGCATAAATTAGACGGAAAGAAATTAAAGATAAGTCTACCCTGTGCACGTTTTCTACAATGCCAAGAACCTTACACAGACAGCATGACAGCATTAATACACTTGTTCTAATGCCAACGACTTTCTCCCAGGGTAGAAAGCAACACTTCTCGTTGGGAAAAATACACGAGTTCATCTTAGATCATACATATATTCTTACATCTTGAACCTGAAATACTTTCACCCAAGCATGACAAGACACTCATCTTGATATAGCAAAGAATGGTTCTGCCTATTCTTTGGAAGGCTTCTGAGATGAATTTATTTATTTATGTGTGCTTTCAACATTCACAGAGATTGAATTGGTATTTTGATGTTTAAATGTTCAGTCACCTTTTGTATAATATTTTCAAACCTTTTCGAAACGATAATCTAACTTGGTACATATGGCTCAACGTGTCGACATAACTATAAAAAAAAATGTTAGAGAAAGGTATATATGTGATGGAATGTCGAGTGTTCAAGATAACTTTAGTATTCTGTCAGAAGAGTCATATCTAGATTCTGTGTTAAAGAATACTCATCCACACAAACACAATTTTCTGCTTGTGATTGTGTTGATTCCATTTGTGTAATCCCACGTTGTTCCAGCTGTTTTTTTGCGATTCCTATAGATTACACAGCAAGTTTTGCCCGCATTCGTACACGTGTGTGTGTGTGTGTGTGTGTGTGTGTGTGTGTGTGTGTGTGTGTGTGTGTGTGTGTGTGTGTGTGGTGTGTGTGTGTGTGTGTGTGTGTGTGTGAGTGAGTGTGAGTGTGTGAGTGAGTGTGTGTGTGTGGTGTGGTGTGAGTGTGTGTGAGTGAGTGAGTGTGTGCGGTGCGTTGAACGTGAGTGAGTGAGTGTGTGTGTGACGAATGATAATAACGAATAACAACACAACAACAACATATTGTTAAAACAGCTTGATGAAAGTCTCATTCATAAGAAAGAACAATGACAAAAAAACGAATGGAGGAACGCGACAGAGAAAGAAAACGAGAGAAAGAAAACGACAGTGAATTATATGAGCACCTGATAATTTTCTTTTCGTGGGTGAGTTGGGGCAAGAACGTGTCTTCCGATAATAGGAACATATGACACAATTCCCGGAGTTTTCTCATGGAACAAGAATAGAATGTTAAAAAATATGTATATATAAATACAGCTGTGAATAATAAGAATAATGATGATAAGACGAGAATAAATATGAACGAACGGTATGAATAAGTTGGACGCTCGCCCGTTCACTCTCTCTCCCAAGCAACTGCAAGCAACGCGAAGGTCTTGCATCACAAACAACTTTTGCTGCACTTCCCTTCGCAACTTAACACACTTAATCTCCACAAAAGTTAGTCCTGTGGGTTTTAACAGGATGTCTCGAGGAACTCCCCCCACCCCCCACACCGGAAACTCGGCAACACCTTTCACTACGTAACCATGTGTGTGTGTGTGTCCGTGTGTGGTGTCCGTGTGTGTGTGTCCTGGAAAACAGCGAACTCCGGAGAAAATTCCTGCTTTATCGCACGTACAGCGGCGCACGTGACTCAGGTCACTTGTGCTTTTATGGCGATAATATCCCCACGATGGTTACTCCACTCAATGGCTACGGCAGGAGAGGGTTACGGCTGCTCGAGAAGGCACGCGAGCACAATGGGGATTCACGGAGATAAGAGAGATAACAAGGAGACAAAGGAGATATTCTGCGTCTTCTTAATGTTTGTGGAATTCGAGGTTGAATAGTTAGTTTGGGGAGGAGGGGGAGGAGAGGAGGGAGGGAGGGAGGGGGAAGGAGGAGGGAGGGGAGAGGGAGGGAGGGAAGGGGAGGGGGAGAGGGGAGGGAGGAGGGAGAGGGGGGAGGGAGAGAGAGGAGAGAGAGGGAGAGAGAGAGAGAGGAGAGAGAGAGAGAGAGAGAAGAGAGAGAGAGAGAAGAGAGGAGAGAGAGAGAGAGAGAGAGAGAGAGTATTAATAGATAGAAATGAGAGAGAGAGAGAGAGATGAGAAGAGAGAGAGAGAGAGAGAGAGGAGAGTGAGAGAGTGAGTGATGAGTGAGTGAGTGAGTGAGTGAGTGAGTGAGGAGTGAGTGAGAGAGTGAAGTGAGTGAGTGAGTGAGTTGTGAGTGATGAGTGAGTGAGTGAGTGTGAGTGAGTGAAGTGATGAGTAGTGTGTGTGTGAGTGTGTGTACGCGCGTGTATGTGTACGCGCGCGTGTGTGTGTGTGTGCATATACACTTAACGTGACGAGTTACTTTAGCGGTATAATTCTCCGCCCGCCTCAGCCCGCCTCCCGCCGCCCAGTGCAAGCCCTACCTGTGTCTGCGGCGTCGAAAGGAGACCCCGAGATGAGATAGGACGCAGAAGCCAAGCAGCCCTTCAGGAACGTCTCCATATCCGGTGATTTCAAACCAGAGAGAAGCAGTAGGTATCCGATGTAAAAGTAATAAAAAAAAATAAAAAAAAAAAAAATAATCAACAGATCACACCACTTTCGATGGCTTTCCTTTTCTATCTTTCAGTTCAGGCGCCCATCGCTGCCTGTCGGACGCGCGCACGCACACAAGCACGAGATAGTCGAGGGACAGAGTGACTTCACAAGCACACCGAAGCAGAGAACGCAGCGGCCGCCGGACTAGCGCGAGTGAGGGAGCGGCCGCGGCAGAGGGGCGTAGTGTCCACGACCAAAGTCTGAGCTACACTGAACGGGCCGCGCGGAGGTCTCGGGGTATACGTTGAGTGGAAGCGCCTTCCCTGCCCTTCCCTTCCCTCCCCTGCCCCTTGCCCTCCCCCTCGCCCCTCCCCTGGCTTCCCTTGGGCACTCTAGACAAGCTCCAGCTCCCATTCGAACTGGAGTGTAAAGCAGAGGAGGGGTTTTATTTGGGAAGAATCCGATGACGTGTACGTGGAGATTTGGTAGCGGGGTTTGCGTGGGAGGGAAAGGGGGGTTAAATTAACTCACTGGAGTATGGGTATTTTCCACACAATTTTTTTCCTGGTCCCCTCAACAATGGACACCTAATTTCTTATGAAGTTATACACCTGAAAATTTTGATAACTTCCCCATATAAACCCATTTTTATCAACTAGACGATCGTGAGCGTTTGAGATCACGACTCGACAAGGGAACTGGAGACTTCAACGCGCCACAGATAGTTCGACTTTACAGAGACACAACGCGAGATAGAAGCACGGGGTAGAAAGTGCTTCTGCAGTTCAAACAGGGACGCTGTATCACTGCATGCATTTTTTGCGTGACTTGCAGCGGCCGTTTTTCAATCCTCAGTGAAGGTGTTCATTTTTTTGGCGTGTATGAATTTGGTAAATGCACTAAGTCGAGAAAAAAAAACCGAGTGAAGTGGGAAAAAAAAGACAAGAACTCGTTGTATAACCGACTGATTCTTATGAAAAAAATACAAGACACATTATCCACCTGTAATACTTTTAAAGTGGCTTAAATTTCGACTCTGAACGTTGACTGTAAACAAGAGAATGTAACGATTTAAGAGAGACGTGAAGATTTGATGATGACGACCAGAATGATTGAGAACGAGAGAGTTATCGAGGTCAAACAAACAAACAAAAAGAAGTTTCGCTTTTCGTTCAGTGTTTACGAATGTTATTGTCAGTGTGTCACAAGCCCACCATGATATATATCTTCTCTAGACGGGAGTAATGTGAACTACAGATTATACAGGCTGTATAGACATGCACACAGACGTACAGATGTATCATGTTTGGAATATGTAACAGACAGACAAGTAATAAAGTCAGACTTTTTATACATAGATTATGAAAAAGCCTTTGAAAAAAATGACAATAAATCAAACAACACATGTGCCCGCCACATTTGAATTATTCTTAGGAAATTTGCATGTTCCCAATATAATTCCTGAAAAATACGAAATTTTCTAAGGCATGACATCTTTACCATAAAAAGTTGTAGGTCAGCAAATCCACTTTTAAATCGTGTATTCGATTTATCAGCATTCTGGTCGTCTTCTTTAAATTCAAGCTTTTTTGGCTTTGCATAAATACGAGATAAATAATTCTATCCAATAGAATATAGTTTCTTCGACTGAACACAAGACACAAGGACAGCTTCTCTCACTACCTGAGTCCTCAACACCCGGGATGGAACTGTCCTGTCGGGGCATCTGGGCGGGTTCTTAAAACAGGTTCCGAGTCTCCTTAATACGTATGGCGCTGTATTCCACTCCTGTAATTCAGCGTCGGTCCGTTATCCATAGTCTCTGAAGCATCTCGCGTAATTTATTTTATTCTTATGTCGCGTTTCGAAATTTTCTTCCCGCCAAAAGTACTTGTCCTTAGAAATTGGAGAGAGGATGTACCAGCTGATGGTTCTCGTGAGGTTTCGAATGCGGAAGTTTGGAATAAACCTTAAAACGAGCCTCTTCTGTCCTTTACCTGGTGGGACATGTCTAGCCTGTTAGCCATGGGGAACGAGGGAGGGGAGGGGGGGGTCTGTGTACCTCATACCAGCTCGTTAAGGAAGAGAGGAGAGTGTATGTCAAGCCCTTGCAGACTTGCAGGCACAAGTTAGTCCATATGTGCTTTTTTTTCGTTTTTTGAATGATTCAAATTATTTTTCATTCATCGTTTAAATTATTTTGCAATATTTCCACACACACACCTTGCTATTTTGAACGGTTCTCACTCATTTTATAGAACCCATTTTCCTCCCTATCGTTTTTTGAAATTGTCGAAGAATCAAACTTCAATCGCACTCATTTTCTTTTCGTATCACACCAATTTCAATCGCACTCCATCTTTTTTTCGAGAAAATTCATACCGCGACATTAGTGAATTATTTCGATTTTATTTCTCCCACAGCAATGTCTTCAGTGCAGAGATGCCTCTTGTGGGGTCGAGAAGGCGAACGACACGCGGTGAAACTAACGCTGAAGGCCACAAGCAAAGTCCGCGAGATCGTACATACCACGCCATTATACCGTAATTCATAATATTCTCCACAAAAAAAAAGATGAAAGCTCAATGAACGATGTGTAAAAAACACCTCAGCTCGACTCTAGAAGGAGAAAAAGACAAACGAAGTCGCCAGAGCTCGCTAGAGGGAGAAAGGTAAACCGAGTTAACCTAGATATTACTCGGTCAGAAGTCATGCTTGTGTCTGCATTCATAACCTGCGGCGCGTGCTCCGTGGCTTAAACAGTAGGCTCAAGGACACGAGAGAGAGAAAGAGAAGAAATAGGCCGATAGAATAACGTTCGGATATAAATGTTTCTAAGGTGGAATAATGGAGGTTCGTCATTCAGGGCGGCCGGTAGGATGCGTGGATGCGTAGATTTAGATGCGTGGATATAAAAGTAGGTTCGTTGTCTTCGAGGAGGCAATTAGCTGAAAATCAATTCATCGCTGGTAGATTAGAACCGATGCGCGTAGTGGTATAAAATGTGTTGAGTTCGTTGTCTTCGAGCAAGGCGCATGAAAAAAGAAAAAAAAACTGAAAATAAAAAAATACACATAAAGGAATTAGAGTGACTGCTGATTCGCACTACGAGAAAAGTCTGGCTCGTAGCTATAATTTTCTTTCTCCACGAAAGAAGGTCACACTAATTTTCCTCGAAAACAAATGGGCATCAGGGTTCGCCGAGTGTTGCCATCGCGGTGAGCCACGGTGGCAACACTACTAAAACGCAAAGATATATATAGATATACGTCATGTAGCAAAAAAGCGTATATTAGTAGAATGAACTGATGCTTGGGTAAGAATATTATATAAAAAAGAGCAAGGTGTAGTGACCGCGGGGAGGGCAAACAACATGGCGGGTGCGTGTCGCGTCTTCCCGCCTTCTCGCTGTTGTTTGTCCTCCTGAACACCAGCTCCCACCTATAATCTTATCAGCTAACTCTGCAACCTTACGTACTTCCTCAATTCTCCACGTGTTTCTGCCTCGAGAAAATTTTAATCTATCATCAATGACAGAGAAGAGGACTTTGATTCGAGTTCTATTAGGTTAGACAGTTTTACATACCGAAATAGGAGTTCAAGAACCTAACCTAACCTTCCTGTATCCCTTCTGACTGCAGGCGAGGCGGCTATCCCAGTCTTCCTCAGCCGGCCACCTAACTGGCTTCTCCTACTTACGTGACCGTAATATTACCTTAGGCTATCCTCCCACCCATCTCCAGACCATCATGTCTCTCCTTCTTCTTCCAGTTCTTCCACCTGCCTCTCCTGGTCTCCTCACTCCTCCTCTCTCTCTGTTTGTCTGTCTGTTTGTGTTAACGGCTGTCTCTCCCGGTAATATGTGTCTGTATGTTCGTTTGGATCTCGCTATCTGTCTGTCTGCTTCCCTCTCTGTCTGTCTTCTGTCCCTCTGTCTGTCTCTCTGGTCTGTCGTCTGTCTGTGTGCTCTCTGTGTTCTGTCTCTCTAAGTGTCTCCCTCTCTCTCTCTCTCTTCTGACTCTCTCTCTCTCTCTCTCTCTCTCTCTCTCTCGTACTCTGCTCTCTCTCTCTCACTCCTCTCTCTCTCTCACACACCCGTCCCTACAACACTTCCCTCCGCGCCCTCTTCCCCTCCTCCCCCGCCTTACTTCCCTCCCTCCCTCCTCCCCCCCCCTGTCCTTGCACCTTCTTCTTTCGTCCTCTCCAACCTGCGTTCGTCGCACCTTTCAGTCGGGATCTTCCCAATCACTTGAAGAGAACTACCGTGTTTTTTTCTTTCGCAACAATTGCAAAGGAACTACCGCCGGTTTCTCGTCACAATTTGTCATCGATTGATCTATTTCATCACTTACGTCCTAATTAATTATTGTCTTCTCTATTACCATCATATCACTCGTAGTAGATTTATGATCCCATCATTTAAAAAGTAGGACGAACTACCGCCTGTGGTTTTCTTTCGCAACTTGGCAAGAGGAAACGCACTACACGGATTTTTCTTTCACAATTGGACCGGCGAGAAGGCCTGCCCTGTTGCCGGTCTTGCGGTTTTCTTCACAATTGACGAAGAACTACCGTGTTTTCTATTCACGAATTGAAAGGAACGCGGCCTGCCGCCGACCCGTCCCATCTGCCCGACCACGCTGTGGTTTTTCTTTCACAATCCGCCGTAGGGACGCGTTCTACGCCCTGTTTTTCTTTCACACCTTGCCGAGAATACCGGTCTTTCTTTCACAATTGACACGAGGAACTGACGAGTTGTTTTCTTACTGGTACGACACGAGAATCTCCAATGAGGAACTACCGGTCTGTTTCTGCTTTCACCAATTGACCGAGGAACTACCGGTTTTCTGTTTGCCACAACCTGAAGATCAGGTATAGTACTACCGTGTTGTGTGCTTTTCGCAATTGACACGCTGGGACAACTAGCCGTATGCGTCTTTCCACCTTTCCACACTCGACAGGCCGACACGACTTACTCGTTCGTTTCTTTCACAACCTGACGAGGAGGACTACCGTCGTTTCTGTGTCACAAACTGAAGCGGAAACTTACCGTGTTTTCTGTGCACAATTGACGAGGAACTGCCGTGTTTTCTTTCACAACTGAGAGAACCCACTACCTCCCCCGTGTTTTTCCTTTCACAATTGACGAGCGGATAACTACCCTGGTATTCTAAATTTTCACGAACTGAAGCCCTCGGACTGGAGAGACTTACTAGTACGTTGTGTTCTTTAGGCGCAATTGCAAACAAGAAGGAGCAACCGACTACCCGGTTTCTTTCACAATTCG